GGTGGGGGGACATCACCACCACTTCCCACCTCTTTTATTACACCCGAGCGCTACAAAATGGTGGTGGTGGTGACGACACCCCCCAACATGGCCTCCCTACCCCGAAGGAAAAGCCTTGATGACCTTGACGTCATCGAGGGGTCGGTCCTGGGCGTTGGTCTCCACCATGGCCAGGCGACCCAGCACCCCCATGCCCTGGGAGACCCTCCCGAAGATGCTGTGCTTCCCGTCCAACCACTGCGCCGGGCCCAACGTCAGGAAGAACTGGCTGCCGTTGGTGTCCGGCCCCGCGTTGGCCATGGCCAAGATGCCGGCGCCTGGGAGGGACAGAGGGACGCCGGTAATGTTCTGCTTTTGGGGGGTTTTGGGGGTTTTTTTCCTTCGTTTGATTGGTATCATGGGAGATATGTCACCCCACGGGTGGGGTTCTGGGGAATATAGGGGACGTGCCACCCCATGGCCAAGGTCGTGGCAACGTGGGGGACGTGGCACCCCATGGTCAGGCTCCTTGGGACATGCCACCCCATGGCCAAGGTCCTGGCAATGTGGGGGACATGCCACCCCATGGTCACGCTCCTTGGGACATGCCACCCCATGGATAAGGTTCTGGTATCATGGGGGAAATGCCACCCCATGGTCACGTTCCTGGGGGACATGGGAGACGTGCCACCCCATGGCCAAGGTCCTGGCAATGTGGGGGACATGCCACCCCATGGTCACGCTCCTTGGGACATGCCACCCCATGGATAAGGTTCTGGTATCATGGGGGAAATGCCACCCCATGGTCACGTTCCTGGGGGACATGGGAGACGTGCCACCCCATGGCCAAGGTCCTGGCAATGTGGGGGACATGCCACCCCATGGTCACGCTCCTTGGGACATGCCACCCCATGGATAAGGTTCTGGTATCATGGGGGAAATGCCACCCCATGGTCACGTTCCTGGGGGACATGGGAGACGTGCCACCCCATGGCCAAGGTCCTGGCAATGTGGGGGACATGCCACCCCATGGTCACGCTCCTTGGGACATGCCACCCCATGGATAAGGTTCTGGTATCATGGGGGAAATGCCACCCCATGGTCACGTTCCTGGGGGACATGGGAGACGTGCCACCCCATGGCCAAGGTCCTGGCAATGTGGGGGACATGCCACCCCATGGTCACGCTCCTTGGGACATGCCACCCCATGGATAAGGTTCTGGTATCATGGGGGAAATGCCACCCCATGGTCACGTTCCTGGGGGACATGGGAGACGTGCCACCCCATGGCCAAGGTCCTGGCAATGTGGGGGACATGCCACCCCATGGTCACGCTCCTTGGGACATGCCACCCCATGGATAAGGTTCTGGTATCATGGGGGAAATGCCACCCCATGGTCACGTTCCTGGGGGACATGGGAGACGTGCCACCCCATGGCCAAGGTCCTGGCAATGTGGGGGACATGCCACCCCATGGTCACGCTCCTTGGGACATGCCACCCCATGGATAAGGTTCTGGTATCATGGGGGAAATGCCACCCCATGGTCACGTTCCTGGGGGACATGGGAGACGTGCCACCCCATGGCCAAGGTCCTGGCAATGTGGGGGACATGCCACCCCATGGTCACGCTCCTTGGGACATGCCACCCCATGGATAAGGTTCTGGTATCATGGGGGAAATGCCACCCCATGGTCACGTTCCTGGGGGACATGGGAGACGTGCCACCCCATGGCCAAGGTCCTGGCAATGTGGGGGACATGCCACCCCATGGTCACGCTCCTTGGGACATGCCACCCCATGGATAAGGTTCTGGTGTCATGGGGGATATGCCACTGCCTAGATGGGTTCTTAGGGGACATGGCACCCCATCGCCAAGGTCCTGGCAACAAAGGGGACATGCCACCCCATGGCATCCTAGGCTTCTGGAGTTGCATGGGAGACATGTTACCCCATGGCTGGTGTCCTTGGGGACATGTCATCTGCATGGCCAGCCTCCTGGGGGTCATGCCACCCCATGGATGGGGTCTTAGGGGACATGCCACCCCATGGTCAAGGTTCTAGCATCACGGGGGACATGCCACCCCATGGCTGGGGTCCTGGGGGACGTGTCACCCCATAGCCAAGATTCTGGCATCATGGGGGACATGCCA